CAGCGCCGCCGCGGCGCGCGGCGGCCCAATCCATCTGGGGGAGGCCAGCGTCCAGATGCGCGACATGCGGCCGGCCGTGCCGCGCTCGGCGCGGTGGTCGTGCTGATGGCGCTGTTCAGGGGCTGCGTCAGCAAGGGTGAGCGTGATCTCGGGGCGGGGGGGCCTAGGCAGGTGGGAACATCCGGGGCAGCGCACTGTGGCGTTGGCACGTCGATGGCAGGAGCAGAGGTTTGCTGGCTCGCGCAGCTGCTGGTTCCGGCCGGCGCCTGGCAGGCTGCAGGCCCGCCTTCCGGCACCCGCCCTACTCCTCAATGCGTGAGGATTGAGCCTGCGCCCGTCGCCCCCTCCTCCCGCGCCGCGCCCCGGCAGCCTGGCCGGCGGCAAGGGCGTGCACTGGATCCCTGCGCGCGCCATCATGTGCGTGTGCGCCGACGCGCCGCTGCGGCAGGAGCTCGAGACCGCGGTGTCGCGGGACAGGCTGCTGGGGCCGTCGGCGGCGCCGGGGCTGGTGTCGCAGGTGGGCCGGGCAGGGGCTGCCCCAGGCCGCGCCCGAGCTGCTGCGCATGCATTCGTGGGCGCGCACGGGTGGGATATGCATCGTGTGCAAACGGATTCACGTTTTGTTGCGACCCCACAGATGACAGCGCGTATTGCTCTGGCCACCAGTGCCCCGACCTGCCGCAAACGCGCCCGCCCGCACCGCCCCCGCCCGCTTCATCTCAGGTGTGGGTTGAGGTGTGGCGCCAGGCGGCCCCCCACGAGGTCAGCAAGGTGGTGGTCCTGCTCGAGGCCAAGGCGCTGCTGCAGGTGCGCCTCGGGGTGCGCTGATGCTTGCTCCCCCGTACACTTTCCCCCCCCCCTCCCGGCACCCATGGTTCCACTGAAGTGCCTCCTGCGCAGCACAAGTGACCTTACGGCACGCCTGTTGCGGCTGCATGCCTTCAGTTCCATCCCCTCCGCCGCCTTCCCAATAGCCCCCCCCCCTCTCACCCACCTGCTCACCCTCCTCGCCCTTGCTCTTCCTGTCAAGTTTGACGCCCTGTCATTTCTGGAGTGATGCCGCCTGCTGGCCGGCACAGAGGGCGAGCAGCGCGCGGGCCTGCAGGTGGGCGTGCAGCCCCCCAGCGCGCCCCCCGCCCAGCTGAGGAGAAGGGGAGCTCAGGGCGACGCGGCGCGCTGGTGACCGCGCGCTGTGCGGCGGCGGCGACGCGGCGCAAGTGGCTGTTGCGCGGGGACGGATGTGCCGCTTTTTCCCTTTCTGGCAGCCTGGCGTTTCCGATCACAACGTTTCATGACTGTTTGTGGATGCAACGTGATCCACATGCTGCAGGCCAAGATGGACGCCGCGGCACGCAATATGGCAAAGCGGCTGCCGGACCCGTCCAGGGCAGCTCGTGGCGCTGAGGGGCGTGCGGGAGAACAGGGTGGCGGCCAGCCTGCTGGCGGCGCTGGCGCTGGCGCTGGGCGCCAAATGCGAGGTGGGTCCAGTTGCGAGGTTTTGTTTGGTTTGGGGGTGCGATTTTACTCGTGGAAGACAAGGAATGGGCATGTTGCCGGCCCTGGGAGGCATGCGCTACGTTGTCCCTCGGTCGGCATTCTGCTGGTTGTGCTGGGTTGGAAGCCTGGCGCCGGTACGCTCCGCTTGCACACCCCAAATCTGCCAAGAGGCCGCAGCCGCCTGCACGCCCAACCCCCCTCCTCGCCAGCAGCGCGTCGACCCGAAAAGCCCCCTGGCGGGTTTCGTGCTGCTTGCATACGTGCAGCCCAGCCTGCTGCCTCAGGTGGCCGCGCAGCCGCCGCTAGCCGCCCGGCACGCCCTCCTCTCCTCCTCCTCCATGTCCTCCCCGCTGTTGCCGCCGCCCTTCTTCCCCTCAGCCTCCTCATCGTCCCTCCCATCCACATCGGCGCCTCGGCCCTTGCGTCCCGCAGCGCGCCCGCTTTTTTGCACCACGCCAGGTCCAGCAGGGCCCCAGCACTGTGCAGCCCACCACACCACCGCCGCGACCGCCGCCGCCGCGGCCTGCCCAGGCATCTTCCTCAACCCCCAGGAGCTGTACCTCTTGGTGTTTGTCACGCGCAACCTCGACCTAGTCACGCATATGTGTCCATGTGAGTGCAGGGGCGCGCTCGCGGCTGCCGGCAGGGGTGGCCCGGCACGCATGTGACTCCATGGGTGTTGAAAGGGTTGAAGCGCGCTCCCCGTGCAGGGGTATGGCAGGCTTT